CCCGCCCTCTGCCCCCACAGGTAACCTTCTGCGACCCTGTCATTGAGAGGAGGCCCCGGCTGCAGAGGCAGAAACGCATCTTCTCTAAACGCAGGGGTATGGACAGGAGAGGACGGTGCGTGTAGGGAAGAGGGCAGGGGTGTCGGGGGGGCCCCAGGACTGAACCCCGCTCTGTTCCAGGTCAGGACTTCCTGAGGGCTTCCCAGATGAACCTCAGCATGGCAGCCTGGGGGCGCTTGGTCATGAACCTGCTGCCCCCCTGCAGCTCCCCGAGCACGACCAGCCCTCCCAAAGGGTGCCCCCGGCCCCCGGCCGCACCTCGGGGGGCCGCCTCCCCTGCCTCTCCCAGGTGAGGAGCCGCCTCACCCCAGACCGCCTGCGGCTCTGCGGTCCGCCTCTCCGGCGGCTGTCGGTGTCTGTCTGTCCGTCCCTGTTGCTCCCCTTCTCACCCTCTCTCTCCGCACGGCTGTGTCCCACCCCCGGAGCTATTCCATCTGCCTGCGCCCCACCCTGTGTCTGCTTCCTCCCCGCAGTAATGTCCCACCCAAGAAGACCCCCTTGGGAGACGAGATGAGTCCCCCTCCCAAGCCCCCGCGCCTCTACCTGCCCCGGGAGCCAGCCCTCGAGGAGACGCCGGTGAGGGGGGGGGGGGCTGCTGGCCCCGGGGGTGCTGGGCTGGGGGCGGCCGGGCCGGAGGGCGAGAGGAAGGCAGCCCGGCCCTGCCCTGAGCCCCTCTGCCCTCACAGCGCACCAAACGCCCCCACATGGAGCCCAGGACTCGACCCCGGCCGGCTCCGCCAGCCTCAGCTGCCAGGTACCCTTGCCAGGCTCACCCTCCTGTCTGAGACATCGTCTGCCCGATCGAGGGTCTGCGTGCCCATTCCCACATCACCCCGCGGCTGCTGGGCGGGCTCACTGGCTTGCTCTCAGGTTCTGACTCTCTGAACCAACATTATTATTACTATTATTATTATTATTATTATCATCATTAAAGATTTTTATTGATTGATTTCAGAGAGAGCGAGAGAGAGAAACATTGATTTGTTGTTCCACGTATTTACGCACTCACTGGTTAATTCTTGTACGTGCCCTGCTCGGGGGATCCGCAACTTGGGCCGATCAGCATGGTGCTCTAATAACCCACGGAACTGCCCAGCCAGGGCTGAGCCAGCATTATGGAGCTCCAGCTGTATGCCGGACTCCAGGCACCTGCTGTCCTAGGAGCCCCACCCAGGCTCTCCGGGCCTGCTTGTGGGGACAGGCCGGACCGGCCGGAGAGAGTTGGGAGCAGCTCTTGGTGCAGGCCCAGCCCTCGTCCCAGGGGGCTTCCTGTGCCGCCCCCTCTCTTGCAGGAAACCGCCCCGGCTCCAGGACTTCCGCTGCTTGGCCGTGCTGGGTCGGGGACACTTCGGGAAGGTAGTGGACGGAGGAGGGTGCCGGGGAGAGGGTGGGCAGCCCTTGGCACTCGAGCTGGGAGGGCACCGTGGTCGCTGGACAGTGGGTGGGGGTGGTTAAAGGCTCTCCTGCACTGCCCACCCGGAGTCCAGCCCCTCTCTGCCCCCAGGTCCTGCTGGTGCAGTTCAAGGGGACGGGGAAATACTACGCCGTCAAAGCGCTGAAGAAGCAGGAGGTGCTGAGCCGGGACGAGATGGAGAGGTGTGCGGTGACCCCGGGGGGTGGGGGCACCTGGCCTGGAGGGGGCCCCCGGGAAGGCTGGCCTGGGCTCTAGGCACCGGGAGGTTCCTGGGGCTTCTTCGAAGTGGCGACTCTCTGGGGCCAGCCAGGCCTGGGTTCTCTTCTTAGCACCCGCCGTTAATGGGGTGCCCTTGGGCAGGCCCCCTCTCATCTCCGTACCTCAGTTTCCTCGCCTGTGAAATGGGACAGTGGTGGGTGTGCAGGTTAAAGGACCCACGTGAGCCCCCGACACGCAGAAACCTTCCCTCTGCGCGCTGAGCCTGGGCTGTCCCGGGGGCGGCAGGGCGGAACCGGGGGAGGTTTGCCTTCCCTCTGAAGCCCACGCCCCCTGCAGCCTGTACTGCGAGAAGCGGATCCTGGAGGCCATGGGCCGAACGGGGCACCCGTTCCTGCTGTCGCTCCTCGCCTGCTTCCAGACCGCCAGCCACGCCTGCTTCGTGACCGAGTTTGCGCCGGGTGGGGACCTCATGATGCAGATCCACGAGGACGTTTTCCCGGAGCCCCAGGCCCGGTGGGTCTCCATTCCTCGTGTCTGCCTCTCCCAACAAGCCTCCCCTTGTCCCCACACCTGGGCCCCCCGCCCTGCCTCCTCCGGGCACCCATCGGCAAAGAGCAGGGAGTTGGGGGGTGGGGGGGCCTTGGTTCGTGTTCTTTTCATCGACTCTCGCAGCATCAGGGACTCTGAGCGTCAGTTTCTGTAGCTGTGAGTTGGCTTCATAATAACTGTCCCGGAGGCTTGTTGCGTACTCGAGCACAGTGTTTATGGATTACGGAGCCCAGGGGCCAGGGAGCAGCCAGTGACCGGCAGCCGGAGTTGCTTCTCGTCCGTCGGAGAGCAGGCGCTGGCGTCTGGGCTCCAATGCTCTGCCACTAGCCGTGTGACCCCGGGCATGTCACTCGCCTGGAGTCTCGGGTGCTCAGGTGAAAGGCAGGCATGCCGGCTGCCGGGAGCAGGCAGGGAGAAAAGGGCGTGAGAGCTCAGCACTGTCCCTGGCACTGTCCAAGTTCCCAGGAAGGGTGTGCTGTTGGCCAGCAGCGACCTTGGGACGATCTCGGGGCTGTTCCCTGCGGGACACTCAGCCCAGGAAACCTGGCAGCGTGCGGCTTGTCCCCCATCTCACTGGTGGGGAAAGCTGAGGGTCCTCCAGCCCCAGCCATCCTTGTGGTTCCCTGCCCTCCCAACCACAGCCCTGGGCCTGAGCCACCCCCTCTACATCCCCTCCAGGTTCTACCTGGCCTGTGTGGTCCTGGGGCTGCAGTTCTTACATGAGAAGAAGATCATTTACAGGTAACCTGGCCCCGAGGTGCAGCGGGAGCGGCGAGGGGGCAGGTGCTGCCCCCCCCACCCCCCGGGCAGCTGTCCCAGGGGCCCCCTCGACCTGCCCCCTCCCCTGCAGGGACCTGAAGCTAGATAACCTCCTGCTGGATGCCCAGGGTTTCCTGAAGATCGCGGACTTTGGGCTGTGTAAAGAAGGTGGGTGTCTCCGGTCCGGGACCCCGTGTCCTCCGGCCCTCCTCACCCAGCCCAGGCCAGCAGGCGTCTCCTGGGAAATCTCCCCACCGCCGCCCTCATTCTAGGGACCAGCTGGACACACGGGTGCTTCCTTCCCAGCCCTACAAGCTCTTAAAGAGCCCCAGCTTGCCCTTGGCCCAAGGGAGAGCCTGTGCTCAGAGCTGGGAGAAGGCCCTCGGTTCCGCTTTCTCTGTGACCTTGACATGTGAGCTTGGCTGAGACTCAGCTCCCTCCTCCCCCAGATGGCATAAAAGCCATCCCCACCTCCGAGAGTAGGGGGCAGGGCTTGGCACAGATTCGGAACGTGGGGACATAAGGGTTGGCCGTTGGTTCTCACAACCACAGAGGTCGCCGTGGGCCAGGCACACTGAGCCGGCGCTGGTGTGGCTGTTGGTTTGCAGGGATCGGCTTTGGGGATCGGACCAGCACCTTCTGCGGCACCCCGGAGTTCCTGGCCCCCGAGGTGCTGACCCAGGAGGCCTACACGCGGGCCGTGGACTGGTGGGGGCTGGGCGTGCTGCTGTATGAGATGCTGGTGGGCGAGGTGAGTGCCGCGCCTGGGCCGCTGCGGCCTGCAGGCCGGGGTGGGGGAGGGGCGGCCCACACACCCTGCTGCTGCACCCCCCCTCCCGCAGTGCCCGTTCCCGGGGGACACCGAGGAGGAGGTGTTCGACTGCATCGTCAACGCGGACGCTCCGTACCCCCGCTTCCTGTCGGCGCAAGGGCTCGAGCTCATTCAGAAGGTAAGCGCTGTTCCCGCCGGGGTGCTCGGTGGGCTGCAGCGCTGTGCCCTACGCCAGAAGGCGGCGGGTTTGATCCCCGGTCAGGGTGCATTAGCTAGCTTTTGGCTTTGATTCCTGGTCAGGGCATGTATGGAAGGGGATGGGTCAATATTTCCCTCTCGCCCTTCCTCTCTCTCTGAAAATCATTGAACATATCCTTTGATGAGGATTTTTAAAAACTTTATTTATAAAAAGAAGAAGGTCATCACTGCAGGGTCCAGGGCTGGGCTGGGCGGCTGCTCCCGGCGCACAGGCTGGTGGTCACTGGTCGTCTCTGGGGCCCCGCGGCTCATGGGGGCCCCCGGGGAGGCGGCAGAGCCCGGGCCGAGTGCCCGCGGTGAGCACCCGTCCTGCCCAGCTCCTGCAGAAGTGCCCGGAGCAGCGCCTGGGGGCGGGCGAGCAGGATGCGGAGGAGATCAAGGCACAGCCCTTTTTTAGGGTGAGTGGCCGCGGCCGCCGCGGTCCCCGTGGCCCCAGCACGGTGGGGGGTGTCGAGAGACCACCGGGCAGTCACTTTTGTGGCCTCAGGTGTCTCTGCCCTCGTCCCCAGACCACCGACTGGCAGGCTCTGCTCGCCCGCGCCGTCCAGCCCCCCTTCGCGCCCACGCTCAGCGGCCCCACGGACCTGCGCTACTTCGAGGGCGAGTTCACGGGGTTGCCGCCCGCCCTGACCCCGCCCGACCCCCGCAGCCCCCTCACTGCCCGCCAGCAGGCCGCCTTCCGGGACTTCGACTTTGTGTCCGAGCGGTTCCTGGAGCCCTGAGGGGCCTCTCCCGCGTCCCTGCGCCCCATGTCCCAGTGCCACCCGGACCGTTAGGGCCTCCCTCGCCCACCGGTCTGCCCGGCTGTGCGCCCTGCCCGGGAGGCCCAGGCCTTGCCCAGTATTCACTGGCCCTTGGGACTCGGGCCGCGGCCGTGGGGCTGGGCAGAGTGGTCCCCTCCCCGCCACCTGCCCCTCCTCTGCCTCCCAGCCAGACCTGGGCCAGAAAGGGTGGCACAGCGAGGAGTGGTTTGGTTTGTTTTTTTTTAATACTTGACTTGTTAATGGATTATTAAATGTATAAAACTGCACGCTGGAGACATTCTGGCTCAGGGGTCGGTGGCGGGGGAGCTCTCGGAAGCCTGGCGTTGGTGCCCTGGCCCCACACAGGCCCCCCTCCTCCTCCCCTTCCCCCTCTGGAGGCACAGCGCCCCCCACAGGCGGGGTTTGCCGTTTGTTCACTCTGCTCTGAGGCTGGAGGCCAGGGCCGGGGTGAGGAGCCCCGGGTGCTCGGGGTCAGCCCTCTGGTTTTCAGGCACAAGATGGTGGCTCTGCCTCCTGCGGCCCTAAACAGCCTGGCTGCTGCCCTCACCCTCCTCCTCCTCCTCCTCCTCCTCGGCCCAGAGGGCCTCCCAGGACCCCGAGGGCCATCCACAGAAGAAGTGGGCAAGGTTGCGGGTCAGGCCGTGGTCGAAGGGGTTGCCGGGGCGCTGGCGGAGGTAGGCAATGCGGTGCGAGGAGACGAACTCCCAGGTGGTGGTGTTGGTGGCCACCAGGTAGAGGTGTGAGACCAGGAGCAGGCCAGCCACCACGGAGAGGAGGGAGAGCAGCAGGAAGGTGGCGAACAGGAGCCCGCTGGACCGCAGCCACAGGCCCCAGGGCTGGAAGAACCGGAGGCCGGACCTGCAGGGCAGCACAGGGATGAGGGCCCAGAGTTCGGGGAACCCAGGGGGGCAGGCCACTTGGGAGAGGGTCTGAGACCCCTGAAGAGGGAGCCCCAGCTGCGCACGCCTGTGGGCACGTGCAGCCTGCCCCCGCCCGCCCCCACCAGGGCAGCGGTGGGACCCACCATGCCAGGTACAGGCCCCACACAAGCACCACCAGCTGCAGCGCCAGGTAGGCCACGAAGAGCGGGTGGTTGCGCTCCCCCACGCAGTTCTCCATCCACGGGCAGTGGTGGTCGTAGCGGCGGACGCAGCGACGGCACTCCCTGCAGTGTCGGGCCCGCAGGGGCTGCTGTGGGCAGGGAGGGAGGCGGGCTCAACGCCAGCTCCCCTCTGGCCCCAACAGTGGGGGAAGGGATGAGGGCAGGAGGCTGGGCCCCAATCTGGGAGGCCTTCCTGGACGGGTGCGGCCAAGGCACAGGGGGAGGGGGAGGTCCGAGAGTCTCAGCCTTGCCCGAGACCCGCCCCAGGAAGTCCCCGCATCACCCACCAGCACCATGCAGTATCTGCAGCGTCGGAGGGGCACGACCTGAAGGACCATGGCTGTCTGCTCCTCCTTGGCCTCCTCCTGAAAACGGGGGACAGAGCATAAGACAGGGCCACTTGGGAGGCAGATGGCATGGGTAGGAACATCTTGGGGCCCATCCCGTGTATAATGGAGGTGGTAGAGTAGAGAGATCACAATGCCCTGGACCGAGCCAGACTGTGTGACCTTTGCCAGTTGCACACCCTCTCTGGGCCTTGGCCATGTCCTCGTTGTCGGATGGGGCTCTAGGGCTGGCAAGAGCATGCACTGAGATGCCCCAGAAAAGCCCTCCCCGAGGAGCCTGGAATGAGACTGTTACTGGTCCTAAGATCCCATGTTGGTAGGAGGAGAGGTTCAGGTCCCCAGGGGCCCCCTGGTTACCTGGGGCTGGGGCTGGACGTTCACGTAGCCGGGGTCCATGAGTGACACGGCCAGGTAGAGCAGCAGGGAGCCCAGCACGAGGAGCAGGAAGGTGAGGGGCAGGAGCAGCTCCCCCTGTTCTTCCCACTGCCGCAGCGCTGGGGAGGCCAGAGGAGGCCGGTGAGGCCTGGCTGGGCTCAACAGGGGGGTGTGTGGGGGAAGGTGCATTTGGGGGCGGGTGCAGCTGGAGGTGGGGAGTGTGTCCCTGGCTGAGCAGAGGCCTGGAGACAGGTTTTGGTGAGTAGTCAGATGTATCTGCTGCAGAAGGTACAGAAGTTCAGGACCAGCCCCCCCCCCCGAAAAAAAAAAGTTCATCTGTACTCTCTGGGGGGCAGCAGGGAATCACGGAGGGGTACAGGGTCAGACCTGTTTCTGGAAACCTTTCCGGTGGAGAGAAGATGCATCAGAGCGGAAGCCTCGGGGCACAGAGGGCTCCCCAGGAGGGAGAGGAAGATGGCTGGACCGGGGCACAGGTAGGACGAGTGGACAGGGCATGGACAGATGAGGGTATGGGGGTGAAGGGACCAGGCCTGCCCAGATGTCGGGGAGAGGAAGGAGGGGTCCCCGCCTCTGGCTCCACCAGGTCTGAGATGCCCGTGGGACAGAGACACAGGACGGCGGGGCCGGCAGGCTCGGATGCTTAGATGCTGCAAAGAGGGCCACAAAGGCAGCCCAGGCCGGGAAGGGTCCAGCCCACGGAGGCCACTGAGGGTTGGCGGGGGTGCGGAAGCTAAGGGGTGCGGGGTGGGAGACAGCCAGACAGCAGAGCGAACAACCGTGGTGCCCCCTTGATTGCCAAAGGGAGCAGAGGTGGGAGGTTGGGGGTTCCCTTCTATGGGGAGACCGAACAGGTTTTTAGGCTAAAGGGCAAAGACCAGGGAGGAGACTTGAGAAAGTCTTGGGGGGAAGTGAGAACACTCCCACCCCAGCGTCTGAGGCTGAAGCACGGAGAGAGGTGTGGGGGCTGCCGTGCGTGGGAGTGAGCGAGGGAGGGCGACAACTTGTGCTGGAGGCAGCCTGTAGCGACTAAAGAGGTGATGGGAGTGGGGGAGGGTTGGTGGGGTGAATGGGGACTGCTGGGGCAAGAGGCAAGGGTGGGGACGTACGTGGAGGACAGGCCACTCCCCTGTTAGGTGTTCTTGTGCCTGAGGGTGGGGAGCCCGCACTTGGGCAGCTAGTGGCCACAGGGCTGGGCGTGACGCCAGTCCTTGATCTATTTGATCTCACGGAGGGACGGTTGGGAGTCAGTTCCCGGGAAGGATCGGGCGGGTCCTTGGATCAGGGGAGTTGGGGGCTTGAGTCTGTCATCAGACCTGGTGTCCATCGCATGGGTCCTGGGAAGGACAGGGCATCTGGCAGAGATCGGGAAGATGCTGGGATTAATTAGGGATTGACTGGGTATTCGGTGGAAAGCTCTTGGAATGACAAGTGGGGAAGGGGCCTCGGGCTGGCGGAGGCGGGTTGAATCCCAGGGTCTCTGAAGCTTGGGCAGGGGACCCAGAGAGACTCAAACGTCTGGGGAACCACGGGGGATCGGGTGGGTCCGGGGTGGCGCGGGGTCCGGCTCACCGGTGTCGTGCAGGAAGAGCACCAGCGTGATCCCCCAGGTCAGCACAGTGTGCCCGGTCCGCACCAGGACCCCAGGGCTGAGGAGCGCCCAGGGCGCCATAGCCTCGGCCCGGGGCCCCACCCGGAAGAAGCGCTTAGAGGGGCGGGCCCTCCCAGGAGAGGGACCGCGGCTGACAGGGGATTGGCGAATCCTGGAGGTGGGCGGGGCCAGATTGGGCCAGGGAGGCCGCCTATTGGGTGACAGCTGCGGTCGAGTAGGCCCTCGAGCCAACAGGTGCCTAAAGAGGCTGAGGGCGTGGCCGGCGCGCGTGCGTAGCCGGTAACCACCCCCACCCGCAGTCCTCACCAGACAGGTAACTTTCGGAAGCTGGAGCAGAGGCGGGTCTCGATCCCGCCCCACTGAGCTTCCACCCCTCTCCGCAACCCCACAATCTCGCGCATGCGTGCCGCTCCGTGGGCGCTTCAAATATCCAGGTGTTTGTTTTGACTCCCAATTGCGGAATTGTGCGCGGTTCAAGGATGTGATAACTCAGAGGGACAGCACTCGCCCAAGGTTGCTCCTTGGTGACATTCTTACCTCCTTGCTATTATTCATGATCAGACATTGTAAACGGGAGGAGAGCAAAGTGGAGGTCCGTGGTGTGGATTCTGGCTATGAGGGGCCCGACTTGGGTCAGGGTCAGAAATGCCAGCACTGCCCCTTCCTATCTGTGTGAGCCTGGGCAAATCACTGAACTCCTCCGAGCTCTGGTTTCGGTTTATGTAACAGAGATGATAATAGCATCCCCTCGCAAGGTGGTTGGGAAGACTGGATAATGGGAATACACTGTCCAGCACAGGACTGTCTAAGCCCACACCTACACCCTGCCAGGCGGACTGGCCCGGCCTGAGCCTTCCTCGTTCAAGGTTCCAACTCCAACTGTGCCCCCAGGGCCTGCCTTCTTCAGCTCTGCCTTTCCCCTGCATCAGACTGCCCCCACCCCAGCTCCTGCAGTAATCCCCTTTGGACACCTCTTATTTTTGTCAGCTCTTGCTGTTCCTTTCTCCATTGGGGAACTGACTCTTCCCCAGCCCATGTGGTTGTGAATGGCCTGGTCCCTCCCTCCACAGGGTGGTGGGAAGTCACTGTGGGCACATGACTCTAGAACAGGGGTGTCAAACTCATTTTCACCAGGGGCCACATCACCAGGGGCCAAAATAACTTTAGGACTGTGTAAATGTAACTACTCCTTAACTGTTAAGGAGTTGAAACTACTCCTTAACTGTTAAGGAGTAGAAATTACATTTGGCCCTTTGAAGGCAACCACGAGGCTGATGTGGCCCCCGGTGAAAATAAGTCTGACACCCCTGCTCTAGAAGGCCAGACCAGTTCCCTATATCATTGTCCCCAAGGATTGGTCCTCGTAGGTGGGCATGTGACTTGGCAGAGCCAAAATTTCGTATGAGTACTGTATAGCTGCTGGGGGAGAAAGGGGCATGCTTTTGGATTTCAAGCAGAAATCGGGTATAAGGGCAATGCGGAGAGAGACTGTGGCAGGAGAGAATGAGGACATTTTATAAAGAGACACAGGTAAGCAGCACTGAAAGGGGTATGAGAGACCCCTTAACATTGTCTGGGCCCCTAGATCCAGCTATGCCTGAAGCTGGTGTTAGCTCTAGGTTCCCTAGCTGCATTAGTCGATGAATTCCCTCCCACTTTTGAGTAACCTGGGTAGGGTCTTTGAGTTGGGTGTCTGTCACTTACTACTCAGTCTTTTTTTAAAAAAGATTTTATTTCTTTATTTTTTAGAGAGTGGAGAAGGGAAGGAGAAAGAGAGAAAAACAGCGATCAGTTGCCTCTTGTATGCACCCAACCTGGGGACTGAACCTACAACCCAGGCATGTGCCTGGACTGGGCTTCCGACCAGCAGACTTTTGCTTTGCAGGATGAAACCCGAACAAATGAGCCACACTGGTCAGCAATCAGCAGTCAGCATGCCACTCAACTCAGCCTTGATTACTGCTGTGTGGTGTGGCTTAGCCGAGTGTGGGGGAACTCTAGCTCGTGATCCACTTAAAAAATCCTGAAGCTCCGACGACTGACTGCGCTGGGGTCACAGAGAAACAAAGCCGGACACTAGTTGCAGGGGTTCGGGCAGGTTTTGATCAGTAATATACTGTGGTGGCCGGGCAGGGGGCCCAGAGTGAACCAAATGCCACTTTAGTTTGTACAGAGGTGACTGGGCGTTACTCACTGACAGGCACAGGCACTGGGGGCGGGGCGGGCAGTATAGGGAAAAGGGGCCAAATATTTGGTGACTGTGGGTGGTGGGCACACAAAGAACAATAAAAGTAAAAAGAGCAGACACTGCCCTTGATTTTAGCCAAGAGGCCAGAAGCGATCGGCGACCAGTGTTTTGAAGAGGGAACTGGCGGGGGCTTGAGCAGACTCGGGGAAGTGGGTCGTCGTCACAAAGGGCTGGGGAGCGTCGGCCTCCTCGGACCCGCCGTGTCCGGAGCTGGCGGCCAGTGAGGCTAGGCCTCTGTGCTCCACAGCGCCTGGGCGGCAGGCCCGTCCTTCCTGAGGATTGCATTTCAAAGGGACGGCTTTCAGGTCCTTCAGGAAGACACTGCTCCGTAGCAAAAGACACCAAAACCATTCACAGGGGCAGAGGAAGGAGTCAGGACTGGAAGCCCTTTTTAGTAAATGCTCTGTGACAGGGTGGTGTGTGGGGCCTGTGCTCAGGTGGTGGCCACAACAGTCCATTCTTTTAGCAGCCTGGAGCTCTCTCGGGTGCTTCAGGAGGGGCTGGGGTCACCCCGGGGACGCCACCTGGAGCTCTGAGAAACCATGTCAGTGTTTGTTTGACTCCTTTAGTCTGAGCTGAGAGCCTGCTCTAGTTTTTATAGGTCAAGGTTGAGGCCTAGTTGAGCAGAGGGCTCAGAGGAGCGTGGCAAAAATTTGGTCGAGGAGAGCATTAAAAAAAAACCCAAACGACTTTATTTATTTACTTCTTAGAGAGAGGAGAAGGGAGGGAGAAAGAGAGGGAGAGAAACATCCACGTGTGGCTGCCCCTTGCACACACCTCAGCTGGGGGCCTGGCCTGCCACCCAGACATGTGCCCTGACGGGGAATTGAACTGGCGACTTTTTTGGGGACACACCCAGCCCACTGAGCCACACCAGCCAGGGCGAGGGGAGCCCCTTTATCTCTGGGCCCTGGGCACACACCTGCACCAGACTGTTCTGCGGGGAGCAGTCCTCTCGAGCTGGGTGCAGCCTCGGGGGCGCCCAGGACACTGTCGACGGCCACGCTGGGGCAGCAGGTATAAACCAGGACCGTCCCAGGCAGGACCAGAGTCCGGTGGCCTCATGGTCTGGCCCAGCGACTTGTGCGCACACCTCGTTCCTTCACTCAGCTGCAGGCGCACCAGCCGCTTCAGGGTCCTCCCTGCAAGGCCCTTCTCCCCGCGGGGCCCTCGGTGCAGGAAGCCCTTTCCGTGGGCCCCGCACAGCGCCGCCTGGCGGCCTCCTCTGTTCACTGGATTCGGCTCCCAAGCCTCCTCTCCTCTGGGAGGCGCCTCCCTCACTGCGTCAGGAATGCCGCGCCATCTCTGACCTCTGCGAGGGCTCTTCCTCTCCCCAACTCCCTACACACTCCCTCCGGCCACAGGAGGTGCCGCTCTGGGCTCCCTTCCCCCTGCCCGCGGCATGCTGGGTCATGACCTCGCACCCGTCACTGCCCTACCGCCAGACCGAGCCAGCCCGGGCAGCGGCTGGGCGGCCTGTTGGCAGCTGTACCCGCAGTCTGCACACGTGGGTGCAGAGAGAATGTGGCCGCTCTTCTGACCCCATCCTTCCACACACAAAAAAAGACACTCTGCTCTTATCCACTTTGCACAAAAATGTATTTCTGTGATACCCCGAAGTACAGACATTTACCCAGACCCCAGATGGTAAAGCAAAGCGATGTGAGCTTGGCCTGGGAGTGGGGGTGGGGGGGTGGCTGGCTCAGGCCACCTGGGTATGGGAGGGCGGGCCAGCTGCGGCCCATCTGCCGAGCTGGGGGAACGCAGGGCAGCTGCCTCTTCCCAGGGCTGGGAGGGAATGACTCCAGGAGAAAGAGGCCAGGGGCCCGTTCCCTGGGCCACTCCTCCAGCCTGTTCTGCGTGGAGGCAGAAATGCTAGGAGAATCTCAGAATGGGCCCAGGGCAGGAGGAGGAAAGAACAGCCATGCCCCAAGGCCTGCCTGCAGAGCCAGGCCGGCCCGCAGGCCCCTCGCTCTAGAGGGGCCTCCTCGCCCGCCCGCCCCACAAGGGCAGCAGGTCGGAGTTATGGCGAGGGAGCACAGAGACGCTGACGCACCTGGGGCTGGCGCTTCTCCGACACCCAGCTCAGGGGTTTCCAAAGTACAGCCCGGGGCGGGGCAGGAGGGTGTCCGCTGCAGAAGGTGCCAAGTACTGGCCTGGAGGAGTCTGCCTGTCTCTGCCGGAAAGGTGAGCGCGGGGAGCTCCTGCCTGGGAGCCGTGGGGTCCTGGGGGCGGCGGGGCAGGCGGGCTCAGTTCTGCTGGTGGGGTGCCTGGGCACCTTGGGTGCTGCAGGCAGACGAAGGGCCGGGGAGGGAGGGAGCAAGCCCCCGGTCCCAGAAGGTGCTGGCTGGCTTCCAGGGCTGGGGCGGGCTCTGGTGGGTTTGGCAGCAGGGGCAGTGGCTGAGCCCAGGCGGACAGGGGCCTCCCACGGCCTGGGACCTGGCGGGAGACCCGGAGGCGGCCTCCATAGCAGCGCGGCCTCAGGCGGGCCCGGCCGGACAGCAGCTGGGCCGCTGCGAGCCCTACTCGGCGAGGGTCCTCCGGGGCCCGGGCTCCCTGGGCCTGGGCACGGCTCACTTCTTTGCCCCAGACGGTCCACCGCTGGGAGCACCAAGGCGTTTAGGAGACGCCGGGATCGGTTTTAATCCCTAAACCCCATCATCAGCCGCCCCCAGGAGCCCGGATGGGGCTCTCAGGCTGGGTGGGTGGGTGGGTCAGGGCGCTGGGGCGGGCTGTGAGAAGCCTGCTGCGTCTCCCCCTGGGAAGCGAGGCCAGGGCCGGAGACCACTGGGAAAGGACCGGACACTCACACGTCAGAGGCATGTGGTCCCCGGGAGGAGGAGGAGGATGGCGGCGGCGAAGGCTTTGCCGAGTGGGGCTGGGGAACGGCCCGGGGAGCTGTGCGGGCTCGGGGAGTGTTTTTGTTTTTGTACAGAAACCATATACACAAAACTTCACACTTCCTAACCAAAAAAAAAAAAATAATATATATATAATATATATATCTCACTAATTAAGGAAAAGCGTCAGTTGTGCAAAAGTTCCCCTGTGTCCCTTCGTCCAGCGGCAGGCTCCCGGGTGGGGGCGGGGGTCTGCCAGCCGCGCGGCCTCGGAGCGCCGCCCGCCGGCCGCGGGGTCCAGAGCATGGCGGCCACGGGCGGAGGCCTCTATCTGGACGTGTCCATGTTCTCCTCTTTAAAGTTCCCGCAGTGCTCGATCACCTTTCTGCAGACAACGGGAGAGCGGGCGTCGGAAGGGGGGCTCGGGCGGGCGGGCCCCGTCCCACCGGCTGCGGAGGCCGCCGCACTTGTCAGCAAACGTTGACAGCGCTGCTGATGAGCGCGAGCGGCTGGCAGGGTGGCCGGCCTGCGCGTGGCGCCCAGGAAGTGGTGCCTGTGGCCGTGAATTCCACCGGCACCCAGTCATCCCTGCTTTCCTCCCCGTGCCCCACCCTCCCCGCCTCTCGGCCTCGGGGCGTCTGTGGTCAGCGGCTCCTCCGAGCCCCTCCGACCTTTCCTTCAGCGCTGCCTTCCTTCCTCATCTTTCCCTTGAAGGAAGCCTCCTGACGGCCCCCAAACCAACCGCACCCCAGACCGCACTGGGCCCCCATGTCCTGCGGTGTCTGGGAACCGCCGTTCCGGCTGGGTCTCTCCCCCACCCGCTGCAGCCTGGCCCTTGGGAACTGCTGCCCCACTGCTGTCGGGTGCCGCCCCGGCTCCGCATGCCCTCCCGTTCAACACTCAGCCCCTGCGGTTGGTTGGCGGGGCCGGAGGGGCAGTGGGCGCCGGTGGTCCCTGCAGCCTCTGTGTGCTGCAGAGTGCCCCGAGGCGTGTCAGGAAGGGGCGCTGGCGTGGGACAGCAGCTGCGACCAGCTGCAGTGACTGCTCCTAAGCGCCCTGTGTCCTTCACACTTGCCGCCGGGCCGGCCGGCTCAGAGGCACGCCTCGGGTCTTACCGAGATGCTCATGGTAACGGGGGCAGGGTATGGGTCCCTCTTAACCCCTGCTCCTCAAAGCTCCTGGGAGCCCTGCTGACCATGCAGGTTCCCAGGCCCAGCCCCCACACCTGCTGGGACAGGAAGTCTACGGCGGGCCTGTGCAATTCTAACGGTCTTTCCCGATGGTCCTTTAGGGAGATTAAGTGTGAGAACCACTCATGTTACCGTTCTCAAACTCAGACAAATCTGTCCCTCAATGTTTGAGCAGTGACTTTTGCCAAAAATAACCGCAGGAACAGCCGAGGCGCCCCAGCCCAGCGGCGCCTCCGAGCGCCAGGCCCCTCCTCCACGCCAGCGCTGCATGCCCGTGCGGAACGGGGGCGAGCTTAAGTGCAGCACGGCCCTCGCTGCCGACCGCGACACGCGGCACCCCCGAGTCTCCTGCGAACTGATCTCGGGGGTGGGGGGGGACCGGAACCTGGGATGTTTCGGCCTCGGTGGTGGCAGCCACCCCCAGTGGCCGTGGCGACGGGCCCGCCAGCTGGCCCGGACCCGCACACTCAGACGCCGTGCGTCCTCTGCCCCGCCTCACCTCTGGGACGCATTTTCCCACAGTTTCCTCTCTTTAGTTGGAGTGTTTTTAGCCAGAAATAGTGAAACATTTTGACCTGACGTGTTGATGCCCGGTGATGACAGGGTGGGATTTGTCGGGGGGAAAACCGAAGCTTACAGACGAGGGCAGCAACACTCCATCCAGGGCTGGGTTACCTGGTGTCTGGCCACACTGTGGCCAGAACGACACTCGGGGAGGCCCCAGCTGGACGTCCGCATGCTGCCCACCTCCACACCTAACTTGGAAGTGCCCCGGGGGCCCCCGAACCCCTCAGTGCCCAAAGCAGGGCCCCCAGTGGCAGCACTGCCGTCCGTCACTCACCGCGCCATCTCCTTGGTCTCCTGCCGCGCCGTGGCCGTCTTGATCATGTTCTTCAGAAGGGGCATCCCGCCTTCTTTGATCAGCAGGGGGCAGTACTTGTCGGCTGTGGGGTGGGCAGGGGCAGACAGCAGGGGCTCAGGGTGGGTTGGGTCTTCTCCCGGCCTGGGGCCCAGAACTGTCCCCCCGCCGCTGCTGGGACTGCCCTTCCGGACGGGTGGGATGAAGGCGCAGGCCTGGGCGAGGGCACTGCTGTCATAGGGGACGGGCCACGTTTGCCCAGCCCGAGTCCCCCTGGGGGAAGCAGGGGGTGCACCCGTGGGAAAGTTCTTCCCCACTTAGGTACGCTGCAGCATTCCTCCCCCGCCCCCACCCCGAGCTCATCCTATGGAAAATATCCAGCCAAACTGGTGGCTTCTACTCTCTGAGGAGTTTCGTGAAAACACAGCTTCCTAAGCCCTCCCCTGGGTACTGTGATTCCACAGATCCAGGAACCTGTACTTAATTGGGTTGGTGACAAAATACCACCAGGGGGTTCTGGGGACCAGCCAGGGTGGAACCCCCACGCCTCTCTGCTGGGCGGTTTCGTGGTTCACTCCGACAAAGCGCATTCCGGGGCCTGGGATCCAGGGCCCCCACCCCACGGAGCACACGGGCATTCCAGTGGCCCGCCCGCGGATCTATGCGGTAGGAGCTGTTTGTTATCTCCATTCTACAGGCGGGAGGACTGAGGGTCAGAGAGGCGGAGTCCTTCACCCCAAGTCACTCCAGAGGCTCGTCCCAGGGAGTCCCACCCAGCCCAGGGCTTCCCTCTGCGCTAGGCCGCCTCTCCGAGGTGCGGTGCTCTTTCGCAATAGGACTAACCTCAGAGAGTAATAAAAAAGGCTACTGTATCGGACGGTCTACACATGCACGTGGTCCGTGCGTGGAGTGTTCTCAGCACTTGACATGTGTCACTTCACAGCAGTCTTATGCTGTAAGTGCTGTTATTGTCCCATCTTACAGATGGGGAACTCGAGGCACAGAGCGGTTGAGAAACCTGCCCAAAGTCACACAGCAAGCAGTAGAGCCCGGCTGCAAACCCAGGCCGTCTGCTCCCCGCGCCCACGGGCGTGTCCGCGCTGCTGGTGAACGGGACGGAGCGGCACCAGGGCCTGGGCTCCGCGTCTTTTGTGGGTTCTCTGGTCACATTGATCTCACGAGGTGGGTGTTACCATTATCCCCGGTTCATAGGGGAGGAGACCGAGGCTCAGAGAGGTCCGAGAACCCACGTGAGGGCACACAGCCAGTCAGGGAGGGGACCGGGGGCCACACCTGGGCTGCGGGGTGCCCTGTCTCTGCTCTCCCCCACAGCCACCGAGCACAGGACTGTGGAGACTCTCCTGCGGGGGGTGGGGGGGCGGCGGCGGGGGGCTGTCTTACGGAAATACGCTGGAGTCGTTTTACAGTTCTCTTCTGTCCTGGAGGACGTCTGTCCGCTCAGGGGTCAGGTCTCTGTGTGTGGTGGTGGGGGGGTCCTGCCTGTGCCCCAGAAGGCACGGGGAGTTTGGGCTGCTCGCTCGCGTGGGCGCAGGGAGCACTGAGCAAGCCGTCTGGGAACGCCGCACGGCCGGCCGGCCGTCTCGCCTGCCAGGCATGTCCTGGTGACCAGCGGGGGCAGCCACTATGCCGTGCGCCCCGCCCGTGCTGGAGGGCAGCGGAGGGCGGTGCCTGAGGCAGGCCCTGGCACCCGCCCCTCAGGGCTCCCCGCCGGGGTCGTAAGCTTCCTGAAGCTTCCCCGTGTCTGAGCAGAGGGCGCGCGGGTACTCACGGTAGACGGACACAAGGTTGTACAGGGCCCAGGTGGCCCAGTGCTGGCTGACGGGGGAGATTCCCTGGGGCAGGAGGCGAAGAATGGGCTCAAACGACCTGTCGGAGGAGAAAGGAAGGTCACCTCTGGTGCTGGGGCTCGGGGGGGTGCACCTTGGAGCTCCTCCTCCCTGAAGGGCCCCACAGACAAAGGACAAACGGAGCAGGCCAGTGGGATGCGGGGGACACGCGGGGGACACGCGGCGTCCGGCCCGTCGGCGCAGCTCGGGCTGGCACGGGCAGCCTCCTGGCGCGAGAGGTGGAGCGCACAGACGCACGGAGGGAGGCAGGAGCACATGGGTCAGGCGGCACGGAAACTGGGGGCCTCGGGCAAGGAGGAGAGACCAGCCCGCGGGGGCGGGCGCGCCCCGGGGAGCGGAAGACAGTGTGACTGCGCTTCCTGTAACGGCCTTCCACGGCCACCTGCTGCCACCCGAGGCCGCGTCCGAAAGCCCCAAGACGCGTGTGCAAACCCCCTGGGGAGTGACCCCCCTTCCTCTCCCCTCGGGAGCGACACACACGGGGTGCAGCACAGCCACGAGCACGGGCCCCTCCCCCCACACGGGTTTTCGGTTCAGCGCCCATCGGATGGGCCGTCGGCACGTAGACAGTGACCCAGTGACGGCGTGAGGAGGGACACCCGACCTGTGGCTGGAAACCGAGTCACGAGAGCATGTGTCTCCATGCCAGCTGGACTGAAAGTAACTAAATCTGTGCCCAGAACTGCAGGAAGGGGGACACGGGCACCCCAGGGAGGAGGTGGGGAGACACAGGCGGGTTGGCGGGGTTCTCTTCCAGGGAGCGAGGTTGTCACTGGTGTCTGTTCTGCTCCCTCGGGCGGGTGGGTATGTTCCCCGGCAAATGAACATGTACCAGGTGTCTGTGAACAGGGGGCTTCCGGGCCGCGCCGGCGTCGCCGTGCGTGAGTGCCCACCAAGCGGTGCAGCTGAGCAGGGGGCCTTTCTGCCCTGAGCTGCCTGTGGACTCCGCCCCGCTAAGCAAGACCCAACAGAGGGCCAGACGGGAGAGCACGCCCCGCCCCTGCCCCGCCCCGCACCTGTAGTTGATGTTCCTCCGGGAGTTGATGTCCCAGCTCTGGATGGCCGCCCACATGCGCTCCTCCACCTCCTCCCTCTGGGGTTCGCAGATGCCCCAGGCCTCGGGCCCGTCGAACATGATGTGGGAGAGGACGCCGCAGGCGTTGTAGGAGACCTCGATCCCGTCCGCCTTGCTCTCCAGCAGGTTGCTGCCCGGGAGGGAGAGGTAGGGAGTCGAGTTCCCCCCAAGTCCCTCTTTGGAAACCAGCTGCTGGACCCCAACTTACAAACCCGATGCCAGGGGAACTACTGATTTCTTTATCCCTTATTATTCATACCCAATGACTTTTAAAAGGGATGTGAGGTCGCTAACATAGTCACGAGAGGACCGTGTATGGAGGGCTGAAAGAATTAGAGTCCACACTGTCAGGGGGAAGGCGACATTTATGGCAGAAACCGAGTCCAAGAGCAACTGCTGCTACTAAGCACAGACCAGAGCTCTGAGCTTCCTGGCAGCCAAGGCAAAGAGGCAGAGGCGAGAAGGACCAACCTGAAGACACTGATGAACTGGGAAGTCATGAGCTGGGGCCGCAGCTCCTTCACCTCGGCCACGTTCCCCAGGAGTCCCAGCATGTTCCGGTGCAGTTCCTGCTTCTCGGGGAATTCCTGGCCAAACGACAGCCACCGGGGCCTTACCGACGAGTCCTTGATTGCCGCCAGGTATTCCTAACCTAGACGCTTTGGGAGTGTCTGCCTGGCTACTCCGACTAGACAAAGGGGGGGTGCAATCTGCGGCCCCCCGACCTTCTCATGCTCCCAGGACAGTGCTGGGTGTGCACCATCAGGGGCTAGGATGGAGGGGCTCCTCGTCACACGGCCAGGGGCCCCGTGGGGGTGGGACCTAGAAACCGTGCCTGCGACGGACTCGGCTCTGTTCACCAGAGCTCAGAACACCGGTTCCCCGGGCGCCCCTTGGAAGCCAGAGCAAGAAGACAAAGGGCCAGTTTCAGGACAAACGGACCGTCCCACTGGACAGAATCCTGTCCAGCTGCCGTCCCGACAGGCCAGTCAGACGGCGCCGTCTGAGCAGGCACTGCGGGGGGGAAGGGAGGGCTCTCGGGGAGAGCCCAGCCAGGCCCCGGGGGTCCGGGAGGGTCCCCGGAGCTTCTGTTTGCAGCAAGTCCGGGGCTGACGGGCCTGTGGAGACCCCCCCCCCACTGCTGCCCTTTTGCGGGAACCGCAGGGAGTGGGGGCGCGGAGGGACCTGGCCGGTGAGGAGCCTGGGGGACAGAAGAGTGGCCGCACCTTCAGGCAGTCCAGGAAGAGCTTCATGCCGTTGAAGCTGAGGAACATCTCGCAGTTGTCCGGCGTCTCGTCCGTGATGTTCCACAGCGCGCTCCAGGAGAACTCCATGACCTGGTCGCACTGCGGGCAGGCGGGGCTCAGCGCGGGCTCCCCCGGACGGGCCCTCGGGCTCCCAGCACCCAGGGAGGGGTCCCCAGACCAAACACGGGCACCCCCGGGACACACTGGGCCCCTCTGGGGCGGTGGGAGGGCGGAGCGGCTCCGCGGAGGCACAACTTACTATCTTGTCCAGCAGCTTCTTCTGGATCAGCTTCAGCATCGTCTGTGGGCAGAGAAGGGGACTCGTAGTGGGGGGCCGGGCCTCACGAGCCCCGTGTCCCCCACATTGCCCCCTGGAGCGACGGCAGTCCCACTCCTGGCTAACATAGCCTGAGGAGACCACCTCTCCCATCTGTCTGCTTGGGAGGCTGTCGGAAGAAGAGCGGACCACGGACTTGGGGCTCAGCATCCAGGGGCCGGGGTGCCAGTCCCCCTCGACCCCGACTGTCTCCGTGGCCCTGGGCGCGGCCCGCCCCCTCTGAGGAACTCGGCCTCCCCAGTGAGAAGCGAAAGGAGACTGGCTGTTCCTTCCTCATTCTGTTTCCTCCCTTCAGCGAACCCAGGGTCCGGCAGGGGTGACACCTGCTTGACCGCGGTCAGTGGGGTGCGTGCCCGTCCCGCACGAGGCGGACAGCAATGTGAACGTTTCACCTACGGTGTCATATGGTGTGCTCGAGTGTGGTGGTGTTACGTTACGGCGTTACGTGCTTATGATTTTGTAATGAAAGATACTGTCGTAAAAAGGGGGTGTTATTGTGCCGGACCCCGTATTTATGGCCTCCCTACCGCGCACCAGGCCCCGCGCTGGGGGGGAGCTGGGACACGACGGCGACGGAAGGAGCGAGCGTGACGCCCCTCCCCGCGGAGCTTGCGGGCAGCCCCGCACACGCGTACTCAGCCCAGCTGGGAAGACTCGCCACGGCCCCTGGCCCGAGGGGGCAGGAGCCACTTGTACACTGGGACCCGGTGGGCGAACGGAGGGGCTGGGAGAAGAGGACAAGAATGTTCCAGGTGGAGGAAGTCTACAGGGTCCTAGGCAACATTCCCTGTTGGGAAATTCCTCCTTTGGTCTAGCCTGGCTTCTTCACACGGCAGCGGGGCTACGGACCAGGGAGGGAGGGAGGGAGGGTGGGCGGGGCGGCACGTACCACGACGAAGCCCATCTTGCCCACGGCCTCCTTGTGGTCATTGTCCACCTGGCAGACCAGGGCGTTGCACAGGTGCACGGCGATGCGCTGGATCGACTCGTCCTGCCGCGTGGGGTTGAGGATGCTGAGCAGGAGCTCGTTGACCCGGCGGTACTGGAACTCCAGCTCCTCGGGGATGCTGAAGTTGCACAGGGTCAGGCAGCAGTTCCGCTGGACCTGGGCCGGGGCGGAGACAAGCAGAGCGCAGTGAGAGGTGGCCTGGGGAGCTGGCCTGGAGGGCTCCCTGGAGGTGAGATAACCCGGAGCTGGGGCGGTCCAGGAGGGCTTTCTGGAAGAGGAGACTACAAGGCTTTCTTAAAAAACATTTTTCAAAATATGTGAAATTTTCATACAGAAGAGTGTATTTAAATCAGAAATGCAGAGTTTCAGAAATAACTATAAGGCAAACGAGTGTTTCAACAACAGTGTAGCCACCACCTGGTGAAGAACTAGAACACTGCCAGCACCCAGAAGTCCCCACACGTCCCCTCCTGATCGTGAGCCCCTCTCCCCACTGGAGATACTCACTATCCCTGTTCATTTGAAAGGTTTTCTAGCATCTTGCTTCTTGTTGTTCAACCACAGGTGTGCAAGGTCAGTCATGTCGTTGTTATAAGTAGCTGAAATGCAGTCCCTTTTCACCGCAGTATAGTATTCCAATTTATCCACCCATTCCGCTGCTGGTGGACTTCCGTGCTGACGGCTTCAAACAATGGCTGGTGCATGCATTCTGGTGTCCATGCCCACGAGCCCCTCGCGGGCGCCCACGCATCGGGGGCAGCTTCTGGGTCACATGGCGTTGCGTGCCTTCAGCTTCACCCAGTAACCCCAGACTGTTCTCCCCAGTCGCCACCCCCGGCCCCCAGCTGTGCAGGAGAGCTCTGGCGGGGCCGCCACCGCTGTCTCTGTGTGTTGTCTGCAGGCTTGTTGTCTTAGTGTTCTCAGCGCTCTTCCCTTACAATTCCATTTCTTCCCATCCCTGCTTGTTAGATACTGCAGGTTCACCCTACTTTATTAACTATGTAAATGCTTGGTTAACCCCTGGCCTCCTGCCCCCACACACATATAGTTTTTCAATTTGAGAGCCAATTTAAATGATAAAAGGAATACTTACTGTAAAAAGTTCAAATAGCACTGCCTGAGCAGAAAGTTCAAGTCCCCCAGAAATTAACCACTGTTAAAACGTTGGCGCACAGGCCTTCCTCGTCCCGCCCCCTGGGAGCCTGGGGGCCGAGGCCGTTTTGCTGGCTGTAGGCAGGCTTTCCGGAACGAGAGGGGGCACCCAGTTCCTCTTAAAGTCAAAGGTGTCTGTGCTCCAGATGTGACTAACTTCTCTCGCGGCCAGAGACATGCTTGTGTGCAAAGCAAAGAGCCGCACAGCGACGCCTGGTGGCAAAGCCGAACAAAGCCAGCGTCACCCGGGGAGAGGGAGCTGGGGCTCGTGGGCACAGCGGGCGGGTCGCACTGAGCTCCGGAGCAGCCTCCTGCCAAGGCCACCACCGGGCACCGAGTCCACGCGTGCTGGACCCTCGAGGGTGTGAACGTCCTGAAAAGTGAGCACTAAACGTGGATTTGTTCTCTCGTGTAAAAAAAAAAAAAAAAAGAAAAAGAAAAAAGAAAAAAAGCCCTGACTGCTATAGCTCAGTGGATTGAGCACTGGCCTGCGAACCAAAGGGTCGCCGGTTCGATTCCCACTCAGGGCACACGCCTGGGCTGCGGGCCATGCCTGCAGTGGTTGCGTGAGAAGCAACCACACACTGATGTTTCGCTCCCTCTCTCTCCCTCCGTCTAAAAATAAATAAAACCTTAAAAATATTTAGTGTACATTCTTCTAGTTTTTCCTTTCCCTTTTTAAAGTATATTTCATTGATTGTGCCATTACAATTGTCCTAGATTTTTCTACTACATAAATATAAACATATATTTGGGGGGAGAGGAGAGGCAAGAAAAGGCACTGTACAAAGGGGCCCCAGACTCCCCTTCACTTGCCAGCACGCACTGGAGCCCCGCTCCGACGAAAGGGTGTGCAGGTGCACCACGGTGTCCCGGTGGGTGGGCGGATCGTGCTGACTTTTCCAGACCCTGTTACGAAACCCCTTTGGTTGCCTCTGATTTCCACGTAATCCCAAGGGGTGGGTGTGTGAACACCTCCCCCTCCAAGCACGTTCCTCACTGAGGAACGCCAAGGCCGAAGGGAAAGGGTCCTTGTCGTCTCGGCGGGCTCAGACGGCTGCCCTCCAGAAGGCGGCGTGACCCCCACCGTGGCGGCCGACAGTGCGCGAGTGCTGGTTCCCAGCCTCGGCCACGGCCGGGCATCGTCCGTCTCCTGCGATGGGGTGTGACATCTGGCTGTTTTAATTTTCGCTCCTTTGATCGAGTTTGCTAATGCGTTCGAGAGTCTTCAAGTAGCATTTTTTTTTTCCGTTAAAAAGAAGATGCCCTCTTTGCCTGGTTCTAACGTTGTTCTCTGTGGAAAAGCAGCGGTTCGGACGTCTGGAGCTGGCAAGGCCGCGGGCCCTTGCCCCCTGCCCAGGCCGCGTCCCCACCGCGGCCCTGCTGGAGGACGATGATTCGAGAACACCCGCCAGCTGCTTTCAACATGCACATACCCGCAGCCTGGCACTCCTACTTTTGATAGGCGGTGTGGCAGTAATCTATTAGGTTTAGTCAGCAAAGCCTTACTGAAGTAGAGAAAAATTGAAAAAGCAACTTCATCGTACAGCTCTGGGGGCCGATTCCATCGCTGCAGCCTGGGCACTCAGGGGAGAAATTTCCGGGCCCCCTCAGGTGGGTGGGGGCCCCCCCCACCCCGCTCTGAGCTCCAGCCCGGAGTCAGTCCGCGCCAGAGCGGCCTGTCCTTGCATGAGGACGCTGACACCGTGCTGACACCCACCAGGGTGACACTGAGCCGTTCCATCCGGCCGGCCGGCGGGGAGAGGCGGGACTGGGAGCAGCTTTTACTTTCTAGTTAGTACGTTTTCCTATTTCTCGACCTTGTTTTCTAAGCATTCAGCGTCTTACAGGAAACAGACATTATTTTAAACATTTTGTTGCGAAATGTTTGTTCCTATGGAAGAGGTTCACACCCAAAAGACACCGCTGAAATGAAAACCCACGGCCCAGGAGCCCGCAGAGGAGCCCACGCACTAAGCACTTAGACACAGACTGAAATCCAGGACGCGGGCGTCCAGTGTTAGTGGTGGCTATCTCCAGTGGCGGGGTTACGGGTGGGGTTTAAAATCTTTGCTACTTTTACAAGGAAAGCAGCTATTGAAGAAAATAGCCCCCAGCAGAATGTGCCTGGGCAGAAGGGCCGGGGAGTAAGCAGAGGCCCGGGGTGGGGGGTGGCAGTGGGCGGTAGGGCCGGGTTAGCGGGCCCTGAACGCTGGGCCCCGGGGTCTGGGCGTGGCGCCCCAGGGAAGGGTGCGGGAAGGACGGCAGTGCAGAGCCAGGCAGGAAGGGGTGGGCGCAAGCACAGGGCCCCGTGGGGTCTATGCGCAGGCAGGCGAGGCTAGGCTAGGCCACGGCGGGGCAGGGAGAGCGGGGCTGGGCCGGAGCATGCAGGGCCATGGCGGGAAGGGGCTCACCGTCACCTCCTGGTAGGACTCCATGCCGTTCAGCACCACCTGGATGACCTGCCGGCGCAGCTTGACGCTCTGCTCCGAGCGGTACTCAGAGTTCGTCAGGTAGAAGAGGGCGGCGCTGCCTGTCACTTGAATGTTCTTGTCATACTTGTGGCACTTGAGGGCGGTGATGACCAGCTGTATGAACACAGGGCACAGGGTCCAGGTTGGCCAGTCCCGCTCCAGTTGTGCAGGGACGGGCCTGGGGCTCTCCGAGGGGGCTGGGACGGGCCCCCTGGTCCTGCTCTCCAAGGGCAGAGTCGGGGGAAGAAAGCAGGGCAGGGCCGTGGTTCCGGGGCAAGGCCAGTGCTGGGGCACGAGAGGCAGGGGTGGGGCGGGGCGGGGCTGGAGGTCGGACCGCCAGGATCCTGGGGACAAGGGCGTGCAGAGGAGGGCCAGGGACTCCGGGCCCGTGGCCCAGCCAAGTCCTGCCCCCTCCAGGTGGGGAGACGCATGGGGACCCAAGAGTCCCCTCCGGCTCCAGGACGGGGGCTGGCTGACCTTCAGAGCCCGCAGCAGCTGGTTGCAGCGCTCGATGCGCGCGATGTCGAAGAGCAGGTTGATGGCCCGCGAGGTGATCTCGGGCCTGTGCTCCGTGTAGGCCTCGATGGCGTTCAGCACCTGCTCCTCGTTCTTGTCGCCACTCACCTGCGGACGCGGGAGAGCTCAGGGCGGCCCCAGGGGGGCCGAGGGCCGGGGTCCTCAGCCCCGACTCCAGCCCCCAGCCCGGGGGCGGGGGGGGGACACCTTGGGGCCCCCGGTCCCTCCCTGCCCCCCGTCCCCACTCTCACTTTGTAGGCCGGGATGTGGGTGAGGCGGCACAGGGAGGTCTCGAAGAGCCCGAGGAACTGCAGCGGCCTCTTCAGGGCGCGGAAGGGCATGATGCTGCTCTTGGAAGGCTCGATGCTGAGGAGGGGGGGTGCTGGCGTCAGTGGCCCGGGGCCAGGGCTGCCCCAGGTTCAGCCAAAGGCGATTCTCTCCCGGGGCTGGGGGAGGGGGTGGGCAGCGATTTCCTGGGGGCTCGCTTCTAGGCCCTTCAGCTCATCTTTTTTTTTTCTTTTTAAGGTCAGGGGACACAGACCCTGCTTCCAGATGGAAGGGCAGCAAGGTCTCGGGGTAGAAGAATGGGTGGGATGGGAGAGAGGGTTGCAGCCGTCTTTGGAAAACGGCATCTGCCACTTTAACGAGGATGGGTCACCTTTAGGTCCCGCCGCCAACCGTGCAGGGACACACCCACGGACCGAAGCCCTCCAAGGTACGGCTGGGGCCAGACAGGGCTCTGGCCAAGGGCGGCCAGGTGGGTTTGCGTCTGACCTCTCAACCAGCCGGCCCGGAAACCACCCTGGCCGCTGCGACACCGCACAAGTGGCAGGCACTGCCAGGCTCGCTGTGACACCGCCACGCTGTCCCTGCCTAGTCTGCGTGTCCTGATCTCCCAGGCATCCCGGGGCTGCGCCGTCTAGTCTTTGCACACGCTACTGCCTCTGCTAGAACTCCCTTCCTCTGGCAAACCCAGAGCGAACTGTCAAGACAGCGTGGATGGCGCTGGCTGGTGTGGCTCAGTGGACTGAGCGCCGGCCTCCGAACAGAACAGTTGCTGGTTCAATTCCCAGTCAGGGCACGTGCCTGGGCTGGGGGCCAGGTCCCCGGTTGGGGGTGTGAGAGAGGCAACTGGTAGATGTATCTCTTGTACATGGTCATTTCTCTCCCTCTCTTCCCATCCCCTTCCCATCTCTCTAAAAATAAATGAATAAAATCTTAAAAAGGCCCTGGCTGGCGTAGCTCAGTGGATTGAGCGCGGGCTGTGAACCAAAGCATCACAGGTTCAATGTGCAGTCAGGGCACATGCCTGGGTTGCAGGCTACGGCCCCCAGCAACCGCACATTGATGTTTCTCTCTCTCTCTCTTTCTCCCTCCCTTCCCTCTCTAGAAATAAATAAATAAAATCTTAAAAAAAAAAAAATAGATAGCTTGGATGCCATTCTTCTCCCTCCCTCCTCCCCCAGCCCCCCCCCCAGTCCTCAGGGTAACCCTGCGCTCCCCCTTCCACATCCCCACGATGACCTGTCAGACAGGCTGGCCAGGGCAGGGCCTGATCGGGTGTTTATCTCTGGCACCCAGAGGGGCGTGTGGTGAGTGCTCGTTGAACGCCGCCCTGCGGCACCCCCGCGGGCGGTGCACATGGGTCCCCACCTGGTCTGCCCTGCCTCCTCGTCCATCTTGGAGACGCTGCAGTTCTCCAGGACCATGTGGCCAGAGATGTCCAGGGACATGAGGTTCCCCAGCTTCTGCACAAAGAGGCTCAGCACCTTGCGGGTCAGCTTGAACTTGTAGTAGCTGGAGAGGCGGTCCCGGGAGATGTCCAGGTGTCTGCAGATTGGGGGGGCACAGGTCAGGAGCCGGACACAGGCCGGGGCTGCCTCAGAGACCCCCTGCTCCTTCAGTCGGCGGCAGAGGAAGACCCAGAACTGCCGCAGGGCATTCTGGAAAAAATCCTGCTGGTGCCCTGAACAGCCCTGATGCAGCTGACGCGTTGCGTTTCAGGAACGGCACCGTCCCTTCCGTGCCCGCCTCCTACCAAGCCAGGGGCTCGTGAACCTTCTGGGACTGACAACGAGGGTGTCCCCGCCCCCAGCCCAGCCGGCGCAGCGCCGGCCGCTCACCGCAGCTTGTGCAGCTGGACGATGACCCGGATGTGGTCGTCGGACAGGTCCATGTTGTAGAGCACGAGGGACACGAGGCTGTCCTTCCACTGGGTCAGGAAGGCCGCGTCGCTGGTCTGGATGCCCGAGAGGTCCAAGGCGGCCAGCGCGCTGAGCGGCCGCAGCAGGGACTCCACCGGGACCCCGTCGATCATGCGGCCCAAGTTGAGGAAGCGCAGGCGGCTGAAGCCCTCGAACGTGAAGTCCTTGACCAGCACCTGGCAGGTGGGGTTGACGAGGCACTCGTCCTCGCAGCCCCCCGGGTTGTCCTCCTCGTAGAAGATGTTGGCGCAGCCGAAGAGGCTCAGGGACACCAGGGTGTGGCTGAAGCTCCTCAGGGTCTGCAGGCTCTTGGCGGACAGCTTCTCGCAGTTGGTCAGGTAGAGCTCCACCAGGTCCTGCGGGCGCGGCTCCGTCAGCACCGCGGCCGGCCCTGCGCTACAGGCGGGCTGGGGGAGGGGGCCTGGGGCTCCTTGCCCTGGGGCTGGTCTGCCCGCCCCGGGGTGGTCTCCCAGGGCCACCGCATGCCCAGTGAGGCCCACCTCACCTGCTTGCGGATGGCCTCCAGGTCCTGGTCTTGCACCAGGTCCTCGCGGAGGTGGATGCGGGTGAGGCGGGTGCTGCGCGGGTCGGAGAAGAGGCTGAAGAAGCTCTCGTGTGGCTCAAAGTTGCAGGCGGCGTTGACCAGCTCCACGTACCTGGGAGGGAGGGAGGGAGGGAGGTGGGGGGAAGCCTGGCTCAGGGGAGCTGCACGGCGACCCTCCTCCCTCCACCTGAAGCCTTCCCCGACTGCCCGCCCGGCAGCGTCCTCTCTCCTCCTCCTCCTCCTCCCAGCGCCCGGCCGGATCTCGACCGCCCCACCCCACAGCCCAGACGCAGGGCGGCCCCGGGAACCAGGCGTCCGAAGGCGGACCTCCTGGAGATGGAGGGCCCCCTGGCGGTGGCAGACCCCAGGCTCTCCCTCCCAAACCGCGGGCACTTCCACAGCACACACACACACACGTCTGCACTCCCCGGCTCCTCGAAGCCAGCTCCTCGAGCAGCCCCTCCCCGGACCCTTTCCGAAGGGAAGAGTGAGCTGAGGCGTTTGGTGTCCCCAGCTGGGTCCAGGCAAGCACGCGCTAACACTGTGTGGGGGCCCCAGCTCAGGCAAGAGCCCTGGTCTCGGTGGCAAAGGCTTGGACTCGAGCACTCTGGCATCTAAATGCTGCCTGGCTATTCACCCCGTGGGCCCTTCACACAAGCAACTCAACTCCCCGGAGCCTCAGTCTCTTCGTTCGTGAAATGATCCTAACGCTGGCCTACAGCGCATCCAACCCGGTGCTGCCGGCTGTTGGGAACTGCCCTGCCTGGCATCAGAAGCTGTGACCCCCGCCTAGGCTAAGGCTGAGGGAGTGACCTTGGACCATAAGCCAGCAAGGAGACAAAAGCTTATCTCGCTGGCAGGAGTGCTGCTTCTGCTCCTTTTACTTCACCCTGCCTGGCCCCCAAAGCGTGGTCGGTTAGCCAATGACGGGTAAGATTCCCCAAGGGGGGAACGATCTAAGACAGGCACGATCATGTGGGAGGCCCCCAAAGAAGGACTTTGGGGGCTACAGCAAAAGGGGGTGATGGACCCTGGCTCCTCGGCTTTGACATAGCCTGAGTCCTCATGTCTGGGAGAAAATCTCCTTATCTCTTGGTTGCCTTAGCTCCCTTGCTCCACCTAAGCCTGAAACAAGGACAGGGTGGTGCAGCTCTGTGCTGAAAAGGGCGGGTTCCCCTGGTGATCAGGCCTAAGAAAGAAAATGTAAAACCCTGTGAAACCTGCTTTGTTTAGAATGCTCTCAGTTGAATGATAAGGGTCCAAGGAGGAAGTTAGTTTGTTCCTCAAAGCCTTACAGCTCTTTGACCCTGACTCAAAATAGGCCCTCAGACTTCCCTGTTATCTATTGTTTGATCCTTACTTCCTAGCAATGAGTAATGAGCTTTTCCCTGAATTCTTATGCAAACGAAACCAGTAAAAAGACTCTCCAGAGGGGGAACTAGGTGCTCTCCCCACCAGGGAGGGTGGCCAAGCGGAGCCCTCCAGGAGAGAGGGTGGCCAAAGCGCTCCCCACGTGAGGAGTGGCCCTGCCGTTCCTATTCCCCCACAGGACCTGGTTGTCTCCGTGTATGTTTTTCTCTCGTGTTGACGAACATCCGCAGCCGAGATGGATACTGCTGGCCGGCATCCCTCCACAGCCGGCCCCACATGAAATGCTCGGGACACACAGGTCCCCAGTTCTACCTGCAGCTGTCCCATCCAACAGCTTCCCTTCGGGGAGTCTCGGCTGAGACCCCAGAGGTCAGCGATCACACATCACGCTTCTAGGGGCCTCCACCAGCGGGGAGTCCCTTGGAGGGGCCACATACGGATTTCTGAAAGATTCCGTCCCTGGTCATGGATCCCTTCTTTCAGCGTTGGTGTGTAAACTTGCATGTTCACACATACATGTGTGTTCACAGGCACCGGTGTGCACAGACACAGGACACCAAGTAACTCCACCACCTGTGTGCAGGTTTCTATACCCTCCCACAGGTGAAACGCACACCCGTAGCTTCACAAACGTGCCCTGCACTGCAGGAGCCCACATGCACACCCCTGCGTGCACATACCAAACGCGCATACACACACGGAACTTTGCGGTTAGGGCGACACCAGTATTCCGCACCCATGCACCCCTGGGTGCACACACACGCCCCTCACGCATACACATCCACAGTCGCCCAGCGCGCGGCACACGCACAGTGGCCCCACTCTAAGGTGCACACGGGCGCATTCTGAGACTCTGGCCCCTGCCCCGGCAGGGCCTGCTCACTCGTTGACGAGCCGGTCACAGATCTCGCTGGGCAGGAAGATGTCTGGATGCAGCCTCAGAGTCTCCTTATCCAGGAGGTAGCCCAAGGTGCCATCCAGGTTGCGCAGGCAGAAGTCGGTGCAGAGGGCCATCAGGGACTCGGGGGTATCGGACGCCATGCTGGGGCAGGAAGGTGGGCCACTCCAGGGCAGGGGCCTCCAGGGGCAGCAGCGACTCCTCGGCACTCACGGGGTCATTGGCAGGGCCACGGCCTAGGGCATGGGAGAGAAGCACAGTGAGCCACGCAAGGGCCGGGGCCACCGGCTGCCCCACATCCACTCTCCGAGCAGGGAAACTGAGGCCCCGGACGTCACACTTGGATCAGCAGCTGGGCGGGCCGGGCCCCAGTGTTCTGGACCCCTCCGGGCCCCTCTCTGCTGGGCCGTTGTCCGTGCCTGATTCGGGTGCAAAGAGCAGGGGCCTTGTCCAAGGGTCCCCGTGCGTTGCAATGTCTGTGGACAGCTGCGTGTGTTGGGACCCGGTGCCTGGGTGCGGAAATGGGAGCTTTCATTAGCAGTACACCAAGTGTTCCTTGCTATGTGATCTTTAAAAATTTTTTTTTAATTTATTGATTTTAGAGGAAGGAGGAGGGAGGGAGAGGGAGCGAGAGATCATCGATTTGTTGCTCGGCCCATTCACGCATTCATTGGTTGATTCTTGTATGTGCCCTGACTGGGGGTTGAACCCCCAGACCTGGCGCATCGGGGGGACGACCCTCCAACTGAGCTACCTGGCTAGGGCCCTGGTTGTGTAAACAAACTGGTATGCAGGTGTCACCGTTTGAACACTCAGTACGTGCCAGGGCTTTACAGGCGTGTTCTCACTCACTCGCATTACACGTGACTCCGAATCCAGGCTCCTCCTAACTGAAACGGGACTACGCGTCCCCGCGAGAAGCTGCACGTCACGGCTCACAGCGGCATCCTTCACAGCAGCCCCACGGGGAGACAGCGCCGTGTCCGACGGCGGACGAGCGGACGGACAGGAATGGTCTGTCCACACAATGGCGCGTGATCCGGCCAGAAGAGGGATGCGGTACAGAGAGCCGCTACAGCACCAGGCCCTGCAAACATTACAGGGAGTGAAGGAAACCGGTCACCAGAGGCACCACGCACACGTGTGGCTCCGAGTGCACTCACGTAGGTGCCCAGCCGGCCTAGGGAAGCCTGTGGGGGCGGGGGGGGGGGGTGAGTGGTTGGCCGGGGCTGGGAGGCTGGGGGGAATGAGGAGGGACGGCTAACGGGCTTGTGGTTTTCTCTCGGGGGGTGATGAAACATCCTCAATTTGACTGCGGTGAGGACTGCACAGCTCTGTGCACACACGGAAACCCACTGCATTGTCTCCTTCAGATAGGTGAGCTGTGCGATGCAGGAACTATGGCTCAACACAGCAGTTATTAAGAAAGTGAGGTCTCGCCCTGGCTGGCGTAGCTCAGTGGGTTGAGCGCGGGCTGCGAACCAAAGTGTCGCAGGTTCGATTCCCAGTCAGGGTACATGCCTGGGTTGCAGGCCACGGCCCCCAGCAACCGCACATTGATGTTTCTCTCTCTCTCTCTCTCCCCCTCCCTTCCCTCCCTAAAAATAAATAAATAAATAAATAAAATCTTAAAGAAGGAAAAAAAAAAGGAAAATGAGGTCTCCCCCGTCTTCCCGTCTTCACGCCAGTGAGGCAGGTAGAGAATTCTCACACAGGGTTTATTAGGGAAAAACGTGAGTCGGTCCCCACCGAAGTGAAGAAACCTCTGTCCGCGCATACCCCCAAATTTTTAGGAGATGCACCTTCAACCTACATGTGAAGGTAAAACAACAATTCTAGGAAAAAATACAGAATATTTTCATGGTTTTACATAGGCAATCCTTTCTTAAATAAGTCATAGAAAACACAAGTTATAAAGAAAAACTGAACCACTGAACTGCCTCAAACTTGAAGACTGTTCTCACCAAAAGGCATCATTGAGACAGGGAGCCCCGGCCCCCGCCGGTGTGGCTCAGTTGGTTGGAGCGACGTCCTGTAGGCAAAGGGCTGTGGGGCACATGCCTAGGGAGTGGGTTCGATCTCAGGTCCGGGCACACAATCCCCAGCCAGGGCGCATGTGGGAGGCAAGCAAGCAATGTCTCTCTCTCTCTCTCTTCCCCTTTCCTGTCCTTTCTCTCTAAAAGCAATGAAAAAATGTCCTCGGGTGAGGATAATAATAATAATAATAATGAAAATGAAAAGCCAGAGAGTCCTGGCTGGTGTGGATTGAGTGCCAGCCTACAAGCCAAAGGGTCCCTGGTTCGATTCCCAGTCAGGGCACATGCCCGGGTTGCGGGCCAGGTCCCCGGTGGGAGGCGTGTGAGGGGCAACCACACATTAATGCTTCTCTCCCTCTCTCACTCCCTCCCTGCCCCCCTCTCTAAAAATAAGTAAAGTCTAAAAAGAAAAGAAAAGAAAGAGAGCCCTAGCCGGGTATCTCAGTTGGTTCGAGTGTTGTCTCAATACACCAAGGTAGCAGGTTCGATCCCAGGTCAGGGCACACACAAAAAGCAACAAATGAATGCATACAAAAGTGGTACAACAAACTCATGCCTTCCTCCCTCTTTCCCTCCTTCTCTTTCTCTCAAATCAATCAATACATCTTTTTAAAAAAGGAAGAGAAAGGGCAAGCCACAGAGTAAAAGATATTTTCAACAAAAGGCTCCTATTCAGAATATATAAACGATTCCTACAAATCAGTTTTCCAAAAAGGGATATAGCAGCGAATGAAAAATGGACGAGAGACGTGAACGGCACTCCCTGAGGGGCAGGGAGTCGGACGGCAGCACCTGGGAGGGCGCTCCGCTTCATCGGTACCAGCGGAAACACGGTGAGACCCCACTGGCCACCCACCGGCACGGCTCTCCTGCCAACAGCAGCAATACACGGGCCACGCCAGGCCGACCGAGCCTGTGTCACAGCGAAGACACGGGACGACGGGCGTCTCCAACACCGCTGGTGGGCTGTGGGCTGGGGTGAACTGCGGGGTGACTGGGATATTTGTGTGACACTGTCTATTAAAGGCGAAGACACACATGTGTCTGACGTTTGGCGATGCTACGCCTAGGTACGCGCCCAAAGAAACGCACGTGCAAATGGTCGCCAGAACACACGCACCGGAATGCTCACCGCAGCGCCATTCACAACAGCCCCGAAGAGCAGAGAACCAGAGCGTCCACCGACATTCGAATCCTGACGACACACTCACCGAGGAGACACCACGCAGCAGCGAGGACGCACGAGCCGGTGTTAACGGGACAACTCGGACGGAACTCACGGCTCAGCAAGGGAGCCAGACGCCGGGGAGCACCGGGTCACGCCCTGCATGCGTCCGTTCACGTGTTACTCCACTACGTTCGAGACCAAGGCACAGGAAACCGAATCCGAGGCGGCTCTGGGGGCGTGGCTGTGTGCCAAGAAGCTCCTCGTCCCTTATCCGAGGGGTGGACACACGGGTTGGCTCACTTTGGGACTATCCAGGGAGCTTTATCAGGATGTGTGTGCTTTCAGAGCCGGATGTTCCATGTAACTCATGAACAAGTTATAAAAATGGCCTGGACACCAATGAGGTCCAAGTTTCGGAGGGACTCGGGTCCAGTTAAGTGGTGACCTGACCGTGCACTGGCAGCTCCGACGAGGAGCTAACGAAGGGTGAAAACGGAAACTTCATATCCAAATGCGGACGAGACAAACAATCAGGCCCTAGCCAGGTAGCTCAGTGGGTCAGAGTGACGTCTTGATAGGTCAAGGTTGCAGGTTCGATCCCCGGTCAGGGGACATATAAGAGTCAACCGAGGAATGCATGAATAACTGGAACAAAAATCAATGTCTCTTGAAAAAGAAAAAGAAAAAGGAAAAGGAAACAGCCCACCATTTATAGAACTGAGGACAGTCAGGAATTTATCCTAAGCCATTTTCCTACCAGAGTCTACAGCAGAGAGGGCGGGGTGGGGGTGGAACAGGCAAGGCTGACCTGTGATGTGTCAGAAGTCAGGGTAGTGATTACCTTTGCAGGGAGGCAGTAATTAGAGAGCGGGAGGGGCGGAGGGTGGGGGCAGGGCTGGAGCGTTGGTGCCGCGGGCCCGGGTTGCGGGTTTGTTTTCTGTGGGGCACATACAGGAGACAACCGATGAATGCATACATAAATAGAACAAATTGATCTCTCTCTCTGTCTCTTTCTAAAATCAATAAACATAAAAAAAAAAAGATAGAACTGTGGTCCTGGCTGGGGGGCCTCGGGTGGCTGGGGTGTCATCCCATGCACTGGAAGGTTGTAGGTTTGATTCCGGGTCAGAGCACATACTTGGGTTGTGGGTTCAATCCCCGGTTGGGGTGCATATGGGAGGTAACCGATGGATGTCTCTCTCTCCCCTCCTTTCTCTAAAATCAATGATAGAAAATATCTTCAGGCAAGGATTGAAAAAAAAAAAAAAAAAAGAAAGTGCAGGCTCTGTGGTCAGACAGATCTGGGTTTCAACCCAACTGCACAATCCACTGGTAAGTTACTTAAACTCTGTGGGCCTCAGTTTCTTCACCTGCAAAATGGGCTAATAAGCCCCACTTCCCGGGGCTGCTGGAGCGAGTGAGACGTCAAGAAAATGCTTAGTTTCGGGTCTGGCATGACTGAGTATATGGCCAAAGGTGGTTATGACCCCACCGTAGGGATGAAGGATCTCATGCTCAGAGAGAGAGGCTGCTCGGTCCACACCGGGATTTGAACCTGGCCTCATCTCTGGAAGGGTCTGGAGTGCAGGGCCCAGCGCTGCCCCTGGCTTCCTGGGGCCTCTGCGTCCGTATTTGATTCTGACAGGCGGCTCAGGAGCTCCGGGGGGTGGCCGCGGAGCGCAGTGCCCTTTGGAACCCCCAGCTCCAAGTCCTGGTGCTGCCACTCACCGGTGAGCCGGCTGTCAGAGCCCTGCTCCCTAAGAACAGGTGAACCTGGGCAAGTGTCCTCACCTCTCTGTGCCTCAGTTTCTGTTCTAAACCGGGGGGCACTTTGTGAAGACAGCATGGGCTGATACCAAACAGGCTTAGCACGGTGCCTGGCACGCAGCTGCAGCCACTGTGCTATTATCATTACCGTCACCATCAGCACCTCCTGTCTCACCCGCCCTGGTCCTTACGTGGAGCCGGGCTGATCCCGGACAGCTTCCCCAGGCCTGAGTCTCCGGCCGCAAGGCCCGCTGTGCCAGCTGTCCCACCGGCTATGTGACACCCTTTAGGGAGAGCGCAGCACACAGGCTGCCCGGCCCCTGGACTTGGCCTTCCTCTGCCCCCACTCACTTTCAGATCTGCAAGGGCCCAGCAGCCTCTCTGGGTCGGGAGACCGGAGCCGGAAGGTGCGCCGCCGGCAGGGAGACAGCACCTGCTGGAGACCCACGTCCAGGCTCCTCAGGCAGCCACGCAAGGCCTCCGGAATTAGAACCAGCTTTCCGGCCAACCTGGTGCCCGTGGGCCCCTACGCTATCTGGCCCGGCCTCTGTCTCTGCGCTGACAGCAGGCCAGAAGCACAAGGTCACCTTCAGACCTTTGCTCAGTCGGTTCTCTGGCATCTGGGAACGTCCAAACGCAACCCACTATTCCACTTTCTACCAAATGCTGTTCCTGCGCCCAAAACACACATTCACGTCCCTCCTCCAGGAAGTGTCCCCGACCACTCTGGCCCACACCAGCTGTGAACTCCCCTTGCGTGACTGATGCCCAAGCACCCTCGGGTCCTAGTGTCCACATCACTTCCTGTGGGAACCCTTCCTGGCCCACCAAGGGGCACCCGCTTGGGCCCCGAAGACCACAACAGTTCACACTTCGCGCTGAAGCCGGTTTAACTCTCTGGCCCCCCTGCCCGGTGGCCGGCTCTGTGAGGGCAGGAGAAGACCACCTTGCCTGGCATTGCGTTCCTGGGCGCAGCCTGGGCCGCTTATCTGTCCACTCAGTGCCTGTCTGGCGAGCACAGGCATCCCACGGTGAGCGAAACCAGACGAGGGCTCTGCCCCGTGCAGTGCGCTGGCTCCGGGGGGCACCGACAGCCACCCAAGGAGCTCTGAACTG